ATTCTATATGCAAGGCGACATGGATCAAAAGGGCCGTCAGACCATGAGACAGACATAGCAGATGGCTGTCAAAAGAAAAAAAAATGTAAATCCATGTTAGTTTCCATATATGGGCTACAAGGCATAGCAAAAGCCAAGGTTCAGTCGAACGTGCCAACCAAGATGTTCAAAACATGATGATGACATGGATGCAAACAAATGAATCAGCTCATTGGGCTGAGAGTCTCAAATTTATTCAATTTATGAAAAATCGTTCTTTTCATCAAGGAATCCAACAATCGCCATACGAAGACTTGTTTGGATGCAAAGCAAAACTGGGACTTTACACTTCAAATCTACCAAGAGAGGCTCTTGATAAAATAGTTACTGAGGAAGATCTTGAGAACATTGAACAAGAAATGGAGGTTGCCATAAATGCAACGACTTCCTCAGCTGACACATATGCTGCCGTGGCGGAACGTCCAGACCAGTTGCGTGACAATAATATGGCCAACAGATTCTGTATAATTTATTGAAAAACAGTGTAGTGCAGCTCATTCTTGTGGATCCTGTGGCAACGATGTCCATGCTATTTGTGGAATACCCAATGACGCAGACGAAGGGTACGGAGGGAACATTACCTGCAGATTGTGTCACAACAAACAAGACATCATGGAACACAGGTCAGTAGCTCATACTAGCGTGCAAATTCAAGGTTCTAAGATGCTTAAACATCAAATACAAAATTTAAAGATGGTGAAGTGGGTGACAATGTACGCATCCGTGTTCCAGATGTTGATAGAGGTCGTGGTGATCCCCGAAGCGTGATTGCAGTTGTCATGAGCGTCGAGGGCGGTTTCTACAAATTAGGAACGGAACATGGTGTTCTAAAACAACTGTATGCTAGAAGTGAGTTTTCAATTCTTCACGAAAATCTGCTCTTATTGTCGTCAGTTGGCACTGAGGAAAAATCACTACGAACCATCCCATCGCATCTTCACAATCATTGACTGGGGGCCAAGGCTACACTCGCTGCAATTGCACAACCAAGAGCATAAGAAATCGCTGCAAGTGTAAAAATAACAAGCTGCTATGTAACTCTAAATGCCATAAAAGTTCAACTTGTTGTAACAAATGATAATATTGATTGATTGAGACTATAGTACAATAAAAAATTTGAATGTTTCTGTCATTTACTTTAATTAATAATCAATAAAGACTTAATTTCATGATCATTACCGCATTAAAAAAAATATCTGCTCATGATCTTCTAATTCGGACATTGGCCGGTCGTCCCTAGCCAGATGATCTTCTAATTATGACTTTGGCCGGCCAAAGGCCGAAATCAAGCAAAGTTTCGGACTTTGACCGACCAATAGGAGACGATATTGGCCAATCCGCGCATTGGCCGACTTCGGGCTTTGACCGTAACATATATATATATATATATATATATATATATATATATATATATATATATATATATATATATATATATATATATGGTGTAAAAAGTCGTTTAGCGTTCATGCCTTGTAATTTTTTTTGCTAACATTTCCTCCTTAGGTTGGTAGATCAACTGTTCCTTTGTATGACAAGCAAACTTGCTGAACTCTGTGAAAGAGCTTTTGAACTTTCCAGACCCGCTTGTATGAACTGTCATTTTGTTCGTTCTTCCACAGCTTACAACGTGGCTATCATGCCAAGGTAGGCTAGTGATTTGTGTTTTTAAAAAAGTATCATATTGACTTCTAAACTTGATCACTTTTACCTGTTTCTTTAACTTCACAGTTGATAGGTGTTTTCGTTATATTATTTGTTAAATAGAATTGTAAACTATATTCCCCAGGTCGTAGTGTTGAGTTGATGGTTCCATTACTGTCTAAGGCAACAAAACTAAAATAAAGAACATCTGATATGGCATATTGAAAAAGTCTATGCTTTATAAAACGGTTTACTTTTAAAATCACAAAATAACTCAAATAGGCGAAGCTGACGACGCAAATTTAAAAATCGGATTATATTTTAAAGTAGCAATAAAGTTCTATACTAATCTATACGGTAACTTCAGTTAAATAAACACATAAACAAAATAGCATGATTCTATAATTTCTTTAAATAATATATTCTAATCATCCATTCCTTATATTGTAGCATACAAACAATTCAACCAAGGGGGTAACTTAAGACTAAAACAAGAATATAAATTATTCCACTTTAACAGAACTTACTTTCACCTCTATTAAAATATTATAATAATGTTTAAACTAAAAACGAATTTCTTCTCTTGACATATATGTCTCTTGATAGGTTTTATTCCTGTTTCAGACCCAGCCCATGGTACAACAACATGTTGACTCAGTGAAGTCAAGGTTTGACCAAAAGACATCACAAAACATCCCAACCTGTGACCAAAAGACATCACAAAACATCCCAACCTGTGACCAAAAGACATCACAAAACATCCCAACCTGTGACCAAAAGACATCACAAAACATCCCAACCTGTGACCAAAAGACATCACAAAACATCCCAACCTGTGACCAAAAGACATCACAAAACATCCCAACCTGTGACCAAAAGGCATCACAAAACATCCCAACCTGTGACCAAAAGACATCACAAAACATCCCAACCTGTGACCAAAAGACATCACAAAACATCCCAACCTGTGACCAAAAGACATCACAAAACATCCCAACCTGTTACCAAAAGACATCACAAAACATCCCAATCTGTCATTATAAGGCATCACAAAACATCCCAACCTGTGACCAAAAGACATCACAAAACATCCCAACCTGTTACCAAAAGACATCACAAAACATCCCAATCTGTCATTATAAGGCATCACAAAACATCCCAACCTGTGACCAAAAGACATCACAAAACATCCCAACCTGTGACCAAAAGACATCACAAAACACCCCAACCTGTGACCAAAAGACATCACAAAACATCCCAACCTGTGACCAAAAGACATCACAAAACATCCCAAACTCACCAAAATCAGATCTTGTTCAGATTCGCCCAGCCAAAATGTAAACCAATAACCCCCCCCCCCCCCCTTAAAACACACCCTAAATTTTTAAAAATGACACCATAATAACCAGATTGAAAATGTACCAATTTTAGCGTTTGTGCAGTATTTAGTTCATTTACAATAACACAGAAACAACAGGCCTAACAATCTTGTGATAAAATGTTGATAAAACTAAGGTTTTCTTTGAAAATTAGGTTTTAAATTGCTAAGAAGATAATAAAAAGTAATACAGAGACTAAATGGGCCCTGGTCTGTCTACATTAAAAATTCAATGTGATGTAAGTTTTAAAAATTCTTTTTATTATTCAATAATTAGGAAAACAGTTTTACAGTTGAGTAATTTTATTTGTTCAAAAACAGGGGAAATAATGTATGCTTTATAACACACAAGAAAGTCACAAAAACTGTATTATTAGATTATATTATGTAAATGCAAGTATTAAAATACAAATCCATATACGTTATGCACATAGTAATGTACATCTTAGACTTATAAATGCCCTAATATTAAAATTACTTCACTATTTCATTGTAGCCTAAAGAACAACTTTCTGGCATTTCTAGTCTTCAGCTATGTATCTTGAAATATTTAACACAGAAAAACAAACTTCATGAATTGATCTATCTATAAAGTAAAATAAAGCAACAGTAGATCATTATGAACAAGATGATAGCGTGCGACATAAATTTGGCTTACTTTTTTCAAATATTGCTGGTATTAGATACATTAATATGTAAAGAAGTGATTTAATAATACACAATTCAAGCATAATTTTTTTTTAAAATAAGCACAGGTTTTCCTTGTAATAATGCAAGAAAACTAATTTTGAAAAACTTGCAATGAAATTTTAAAAATTACAAGCAACATCTGGTATTGAGGTAAAAAAGTGTGAAACTGATTTTATTAAATAACTGTATTTAATACAGCTAACAGTATAGTTAAGTAATAAACAGAGTAACATACATTTTAAAAAGTTAATAAAAACACACAAACCAGACAATACACTGTACAAAAATATACAAGATAATAAGCTGAAACTGATAAACATAGCTTATTTGTAAATTAAATTTGAAAATATCTTTGCTTAGTCATTGTTGTAATATTTTAAAAATTTGTTTTTGATTCATAATAAAAAATGTTGGACCATAAAATACCACATTTTAAAAATTCTAGTAGTACAACATAGAATCAAATCATTACAAAATTCTAGGAACATAAGTTTTTTGGATACTTACATTCATTTATATCACTAGACAAGATAATATATATTTAACGACTCAAAAGTGAGTTACAGTAAATGCTACTTAAAATTGTTATATGTAAAAAAATATCAAGGCACTAACACATCTATTCAAACAGTCATTTATGTTTTCCATTTTCACAGTGGGTATACATTTGTAATTTAGTATCAAACACACATAACAATTCTCCACCTTTGCAAACATTACAAAGAAAAATGAAACAAAGAATATCAGACGCACCAAGTGACAAGTTTAACAACAAATTTAAGCTACAGTTTGTACAAATGGCAATTAAAAATATCTCTAAAATAGATCTCTGTTGGTGGTTGATTCTATGTAGCCACCGATTCTCCGCGCCAACCACAGATCTTTTGGTTGCAGTGTCACCCTTTTAGCATGCAGACAACAGAGGTAGGAGTCTTCAAACAGACGGACAAGATATGCTTCGGCAGCCTGAAACATCAAAAGCTCAGTTCTATACACTCAAGAAATCCATTAGCTGCCTTGATTAAACATTTACTAAATATGAGATGGGGTGATAACTGGTAAAGTGGCTTGACTGATAACCCAAAATTAACTAGTTGGGAACAGTGGTTTGAGTGTTTGTAGGACATCTTAGGGTCCAGACAGCTCTGATGGGAACTTGACTCAAGTTAGGGAAAGTAAAGCGGATGGGCAAAGTGCCCTACATCAGTCGCAATCAAGAAACAGACTATTTCACCTGCCCTATGGAACATTACATTCACAAAGGGGAAATTTACTCCCCTTTATACATAAGAATGATCTAAACAAAAATAAAATTTTCTACTTTGAAAAGTTTTTCTTATTGCTGTGGTAACTATCAAATCAATGTTTTAAAGGGAGGCAATTAAAAACTATTTGCAGTAGAAATAGTAAGCACAGAGCAATATTATTCTTATATCGAAAAATTAAGTATTATTTCCACATCAAAATTTAGAAAAAAAGCAAAAACACAACTACAAATTATGTGCAAGAAGATACAAAATAAAACCTTTATTAGTAAATTTATATTTAAAACAGCAATCTTTATAGCAACTAAATGTATATTTCAAACTTAAGTCCATAACATAATAAAATATACTTAAGCCTACCTCTTGCAGAGCAGATATGGCCATAGATTGCCATCGCAGTTCTCGAATCCTATCAGGTGCTATTTTCATTCCAATCTCTCTCACCTAGACATGAAAAGTGAAACATGTACGACAAATTCAATTAAAGGGTGGTTTTAGATTTAAAACCAGGGTTTAACTTAACACTTTCTATCTTTGGTAAAACACAACTCTGTACTAGGGTAAGTATAAAGATACAACAAAAGACGGAAAAAAAAACACCACTAAAAATTACCACTCGTGAAAAAGATAACTTCCTAATCAACAAATCTGTGGACTTCTGGTATTTTCTTATCTCTAATAAAGCCACGGTTCCCGGGCGACGGTGCTTTTTATGCTGAACGGGTGAGGGACCGGTCCTTCCAGATCCTGGGGAAAAAGTTTCAAAATATTACATTTAAAAAATAAAACTGACCATTCGACCATTACAGGGGCTGCAGATTCAAAAAGACCAACAAAGTTTTGACTTTACTTGAGAGAATTTGAAAAATAACAGGTATTTAAAATTAATGCCCTTAATAAATAGGCAAACAGAATCAGTGAATGCTGACATTAAAAATGGTTAAAAAACCTGATGCCATAAACATAAGCTATAATTAAAAAGGGGATCAATAAACTATGAAGACAGGTCATAGCTTAGTCATATGACATCCTATGTAGGTTTTATTATTAAACTCAACAATTCTTTTAATAAACTCATCAGAACATTTGACTCACCTTTCCTCTGAGCTGGAGGTCTTTGATTTGTAGCCTGGTATCTAGTGCCGTCATCGCTACTTCTGGAATCTAAAATGTTTTAATGCCCTTTATTTTAGCACAAGAAGTTATGTAGCTTATTATATTATTTGACAGGCCCTATTTGATAAACATGGTAATAAAAATATTCTACTAGTTAGCCAACATTAAATAATTACTGTAAGTATAGGCCCTAATTACATTTATTAAAATGATGAAATTAAGACTATGCCTAAAAATTAGAAACAAATAGACCAGAATATTATTGGTTTTATTACATTTTAATTAAACTGCTAATAGGTCTGTTTTATTAGTAATGGTAATTAATTAGGCTTAAATTAAAACTAATGAATCTAGATAAAATCAATATTGATAGGCCTATGTTTTTTTTTATTGACATAGCCAAACATTTAACTATGGCAGCATATAGGCCTAGATTAGGAAATCTAGATTATAAATTACTACACCTAGGTGTGGAGGTTATACAAAAGTCAAACGTTAGGCGTTTTTAAAACTGTTTTTTTTATAGCAGTCCCATTCCCTTTCCACAATCACAAAGGTCAACCCCCCCCCCCCCCCCCCCCACCAAAATTTAAGCATACCTCAGCCTACGAAAATATTTTTTAAAATGTGGGATAGGCCTAAGTGTTATACAGTTATAGTTATACCAGTGTCCAGTAAAGTCACAATCTATCTTAAATTAATAAAGTTGTTTTAAATTAGGTCTATCATTTACTTCTAGTTTACTAAATACAAATATGACTTGGTGTCAATGCTGACCCTATCTCTAACCTAAGTAACTGTAAGTCCTAACCCAAATTTCTAAGTTATCTGAAGAATCATTCTAATAGACAAAACAGATGATAGATCTAGATCTAACAGTTAAGTTAACCATAGCCATAATCTGAGGACTTACACAGATTTTTATTTTTAAGTCTATAGAATAGTTGGACACCTAAAGAATAGGCATTCCATTAAAAAAATTAAAATTGGCTAATTAAATGTATGAGCATTGCAAAAATATTGTGCTTGATGTAACTAGAATAACACTGAAAAAATTTTCTTTCTAGCTTCAGTAGTTTTTTTTTTATGAATTTTTTACGTAATGGGTGAATGTCCACTATATTTCTTTGTAAGTCATGAAAATTACTGTCCCCTAACTTTGAAATAGCACTGCTCAGTTATTTTTAAAGATACAATGTTAAAACTTTGCAGGATCTTACTTCAGCATGTTAGAATAACATATATTAATTGAAATCATTAAGTCATTCACTGGGAGCAGAATAATTAGCATTCCTTTAAGGGATACATTACGGCTATTATGGGCCCTAATTTCTAAGTTGCACTGCTCAGTTGTTTTTAAAACTACAATGTTTAAACTTTGCAGGATCTTACTTCAGCATGTTTTAATTACTTATATTAATTGAAATCATTAAGTCATTCACTGGGAGCAGAATAATTAGCATTCCTTTAAGGGATACATTACGGCTATTATGGGCCCTAATTTCTAAGTTGCACTGCTCAGTTGTTTTTAAAACTACAATGTTTAAACTTTGCAGGATCTTACTTCAGCATGTTTGAATTACATATATTAATTGAAATCATTAATTCATTCACTGGGAGCAGAATAATTAGCATTCCTTTAAGGGATACATTTTGACTATTATGGGCCCTAATTTCTAAGTTGCACTGCTCAGTTGTTTTTCAAGGTACAATGTTAAAACTCTGCATGATCTTACTTCAGCATGTTTGAATTACATTTATTAATTTAATTATTAATAGACTTGCCAGTAGCAGAACAAATTGAATAAAAAGGTAGTAGGCACTAATTTTTTTTTAATAAATTAAACCGAACAATTTATCTTAGGCACACTGGCAAGCCAGGAGTTTTATTTACTGAATGGTTGTCTTTAAAAACTATTATTATTAGCAACACAACAAGTAGAATAACTTAAATAACATTTCAGGAAGCCTACACCAAATTAATAACATTGCAAGTAAAAAAACAACTCATCTCTGACTATTATCTTATTAGGATAAATGTTTTATATTAAATGATTCTCAATAAATAATTAAATTTACACAATTAAACAAAAAGCAAAGTTAATATATACATCAAAACAATAAACTTTTAAGGTAGACATAGCTTACATCAATACAATAACAGGTGAGACTTATACCAAGTTAAGCTTTGTACAACATGGACTACTACTGTCATCCTAGCTACTAAACACAAGGTCACCTGTCAGTAAATCAGTGACTAGAGATGTCATTGTCATGTCATAGTCAACACTGTCAGTTTCCAATTCATCAGGTCCCCAGTAAGTAATTGTACATTTCATTGTCTTAGTCTTCTGTTGCTTAAAATTTACCACTCTGCCAGAATACATTTTATCAACTCCTTCCTCTGTCCATAAATGCTTAAGTAGATGTCCTGTATAGGTTTCAGTCAGTTCAGACATAGGATTTTCTGAAGTAATATACATTGCAATGAGGCCCATAACTTCAGATGACGCAGATGAAAACACACTAGCATTCAGATCTTTAGCACTCAAAGCCATAGCAACCTCTTTTTCTAGAGCCTTACGGTTGGATTGTTCATGTTTCTGACCAGCTTCTAGCATTCGACGCATCATCACTGCTTCCATCATCTTCTTCCTTTGTGCTGCAAGTTCCCTTGCTCTGTACCCCTCTTTCATTGCAAAATAAACTAATCTATGTTGGGTCATTTTGTCCTGTTGCAGAAGCCATCCTACAGTATCATTTGTCCGTCCTCTCACCTTTCCGTCTACAAAACCAGCTGTCGCATTAGGGGCCTGACGCCATAAATAGTCAGTCATTCCTAATATTCTCTCAGCTGCCATGTTGTGTGAAGGAGCAGTTGAAGCTTGTGTCAACTGCTCAACTGTAGGGCTAGAAAGGTCGCCACTTGTATATCGAACAAACTGGCGGTCAAAGACCTTAACAATTTCATGTAATATTTGCTTCAAAGTTTGCTTTACTTTATCCCTGTGGGATTCAATATTGTTGATGATTGCTGTCAGAACCATGTCTGAAGCTGCATCAATGGGTTCATTAAAAACATTCACAGTGGGACATAACAACTCTTCTGGCTCAGCAGCAAACCTGTCCAAAACATTTTTAGAGCTTTGTATCACAGGGACCATGTCTAAATTCATTGAATTTGCATAGAATTTAGTCATCCATGGCCCTGTGACTGTTTTTCCGATTAACCCGAGTGCAATTAATTGAGCAACAACCCTAGGGTCATCCAGCTCTTCCTTAATGCTTTTTTTAAGGTTGGTGCCTCCTAATTCAACAAATTTCTTCAGCTCTTTCAGATATAAAATTATAATTCCAGCTGAATGGAATAAAATGTGCAACCGGTTACCGACGTACCGAAGGAAAACTCCCACTGGAATATTTTTTTCTCTAAAATAGGTCTTGAACCCGCTAGGGTCTCCACTGGATTGCTTGTATCTGAGCTTGGAAATACTCAAAATACAGTGCAATGTCTTGTTGCCTATCTCAGTATCATTTTCCAATGCTCTTCTGGCACCAGCAGCAAAACTATCTAGCGGATGAACATTGCAATTCAATTCCAGCAGGTGTGTCTGTAACAAAGTATTCAGCTGGTTTACAACACAATGATTCACAGCTGCCCTATCTGTCACAGTGGATTTTATGGTGGACATAAGAGTTTTGTACAGCTGCTCTAAATTTGGATGATTTATGTATTTACAATATATGTTTACAATATCTTTTAACTTAACACTAATATGTTCTATGTAATCTACAGCTTTACCACCAGGTAAAGGTTTTACATCAACAGCAAGAGTTTTACCTGCAGCAGAAATATGGATTTCATTTACATGACTTCCATCAATGGTGGTTGCATCCCATGACAGCGTAGCACCATCAAGGGATGCAAGTGCCTCGCCAACCTGCAGATCAGCTAAAATGCCTATTTCATAAGCCATTTGAGCCACTGTAGATTTGCGAGGCACGCAGTCAAGTTTCATTCCAGCTTCCTGCTCCAGGAAAAACTGTAATAGCTGTCCAGCAGCTAACACAGAAACATTTTTCAACAAAGATTGGTACATACAAATTCTCATAGAAGTACCATAATGCTTTCCTTCTTTGGTTACAATAGTTTGTCCCTCTTCTTGGGGTTCTTGCATGTTGATGGCATTATCATACATTAATTCTAAATCATTGACCATTGATTTTAAATTTTTGATGGTTTTGTTTTTGATCTTGACCACATTTTCTAGTGCTTCAATTTTTCTTTCTCTTCTTGATAATTTTTTCTTTAAACTGGCAACTTGATTCAGTTTCATTTTGTATTGGATGGAATCTGCAAACGGATTGCAGTTAAGTTTTTTTTTTATCTCTACTTTCTCTGCTTCCAACTGCCTATTCTTTTTCTCTTGTTTGAGGAGTCTGTCAGTGAGTCGTTTAATTTTTTTATTTAGATCTTTAATTTGAAAAACTTTATTTGATTGAAGTTCATTTTGATAGAATTTTAAACTAGTTTTCAATTTTTTATTTGATTTCAATAACTGTTCTGTAGACTTTCTTTTGTATGCACAACTTACACAGTCTTGTTTAAGTTTTAAAGGTGAGGCTTGTTTTGGGGGGATTAGTGTTGTTATTAATTCAGGTGCTAACTTAGAGACAATCCCCTTTTCTTTAGGTACAGGCTCTTGAAATGGCATTTCCATAAAATTTATAATTTTATCCCATTGTGCTTGTGGCTTAAGAGATCTAAATTTAACACATAATCTGTTGATTTTATTATAAAGTTGATGACTGTTACTTGACGCTGGTATTATATCTTCCAAAACTTGCACTGCCTTTTTAATTTGTTTTTTATTTTCATACCATACATGAATTATATGGCCTTGCTTTATGCCAGCTGCTGTCCGAAAGTCAGAATACTGATTAATCAGAATTGGTAAATCTTTGGCAGAATGCTTATCAGGGCTCCCAGAGCCTGTAGATTTACCACCTGCTGAAGTATTCATTTCCTCATCCATACTCTTGATCATATATCTAGAGGAAAAGAAATCAACATTAATACTACTGTAAAAGTAGAATTTATTGTTTTAATAGAGGCAAGTGTGTAGCATAATAAAGTAAGGGATAAGGAAATATGCTTAAAATAATTTCTTTTCTTGAGTGGTAATTTATTATTGGTTATTAGCTTGATGTGCAAAAAAAAAACCCACTGGCTTTCTTCAACAGCCTTTAACATATTTATACATCTTTTATTTTTAAAAGGCAATCATTCATTTGCAATAAACTCTACGATTAAGGAACAAGTGAACATTTATAAAGGCGACGCCGGCCCCCACGCCCCTATAGGCTTTCCGGTCTCGCCATATTTTTTAATTATAAAATGGCGTTATTGTGGTGAATCAAACACCCTTTTTTCGGTCAAAATACCACTAGAAAACGTACCTCAAATTAGATGAAATCATTATTAACTTATAATATACATAATGTAATTTTTGAGAATACAAAGAGATAGCTTGATAAACTCACCTTTCTATCAAAAATTGTCGTTGAAACACGCACAAAATTAGACCACGTTTCGCAATATTATAACTTGGAGAAGGAAGAGAGAAAAGTAATGCAGTTAGCAGTTTAAAATCACACATTATTTCATTAAATTGGTGAAAAGTTGGCCCGACTACGAAATTGAATCGATTACTTTAAAATCCCTATATTTTCTCACTATGTATTTCAATAAGGAAGATAATCGACGAAATTTTACAATAGCGAAATTCCCCGGTTGCCGTTCTTAAAGCAAGATGGCGGCGATGCCGACATCGCTACTAAAGAAGTGCCATTATTTTGCTACCTATTTTCAGCTAGATCTACATAGTCCATAGCTCTTTTAAAACGTGATTACGGCTGAAAATTCAGACTCTATGATTATTATTTTCAAGTGCCTTTAGTACCGATTTTAGTTTCTGAGACCTCAAGCCCAGGGCCCCTTCCTCCCCCCCCCCCCCCCCCCCCAGGTTAGAATATCAATTTTGGATGACAACAATGTCAGACTAATGTTTAGAATATAGATCTAGACTTATTCTAATTAATAACTACTAGATCTAACTAGATTTGTATCAATAAATAAGGGAATCTGACTAGGATCTAGATCTAGATATCTAGATGACAATCTCTACCTGCAGGTGATGAGGTTTCGCTGGTTCCTAGGGACTGCTGTGATTGCCTTGTCGGTGTTTTCTTTTTCGGCTCCGATTTCCGAGGTCGACCTGGTCCCTTTTGTGATCCTTTAGGCATATTTTTATGAATTATTTATTCTTCATTCACGAAATGTCTCTATGTTGGCATTAGGTATCATTTTTATTTATTAACAATTCTTAAAATAAGAAAATAATTCACAATTTCAAACTTGCCACCTTAGAAATGTTAACATTTCTTCAAAAGAGTTCAGAAAAGAACGCTTATTAGATCGACCAATGGAAATGGTTAGTCAGAGTTTCATAGCGTAAAAAGAGGAAACTGCAGTATTCACGCTAAAAAGTGCACTGAAATCAAGAAATGGTTAACAACACGGCCAAGGGTTTACCAACAAGACAACAACAAAAACGTTTTTTTTAAAACTTGAACATGCGTGTGTGTGTCGGAGGGGGGGGGGGGGGTACTGTGAAAGTCCTTGTATTAAATTATATAGGTTTATTTAAAACTTGTTTTTTTTTAATTGTAACATCAACAAGTTCATTTAGATCTTGATCTAGATCTATAAATGTGTACACAATTTAAACGAAAACAGTAAATAAAATGGCCGATTCTAGTCGGAATAAGATACGCAGGCGATACGCATGCGCAATGGAGAGAAACTACGACTTAGCGGCGATGTTTTGATGGTACTGCGCATGCGTGTGTTTACAACCGCAGAACCCTAACACCAACCCTAATCCTATCCTTAACCCTATCCCTAACCCTAGCCCTAATCCTAACCCTAGCCCTAATCCTATCCCTAACCCTAGCCCTAACCCTATCCCTAATCCTACCCCTAACCCTCATTCTAGCCCTAACCCTAGCCATAGGTCACTGCGCATGCGCAGAACTATCTTTTGCCGAAAAATCTTATTCCGAGTAGACACTTCGAAATAAAATACGCGCTCTTTTGATATTTATTCTCATTATCTAATATCCACAGTGTTATCTGTCTACGTGTTTATCGCTTATTTTTACTACATCAAATAAGATCAAAGATAATTTTAGATAATTGAGTTATCTCTCTTACATAAATAACATTAGTAGTTGACTAGGATTTTAGAAAAGTAATATTTACGTGAACAACGATAGTCTATTTCTTTACCGTATTCTTACATTCTAACCCTACTCACACTTAGCCGGTTTACCTTTTAGATAGTAATTAAATGCTTTGGAAATGCATAGACTATGACATTTTTCAAACTGCGATCTCATTCTTTTTACTTTCTCGTATATACGAAGTATAGAGAAAGTCTTGTAATCGTGCAAAAAAAAAAAATCGAGATTTTTGCAAATCTCGACGTTTTACATCTCACTGATACGGAAAAACATAATTTTGCAATCTTGTCCGTATGTCTGTGTGTCCGTGTGTGTGTGTGTGTGTGTGTGTGTGTGTGTCCGTGTGTAAACACGATAACTTGAGTACCGTTACAGCTAGGTTGATGAAATTTCATATACAAGTATTATATCAAAATCGTAGATCCGTATCAACTTTTGAGCGATTTCGGATAACCGGAAGTGGTACTTTTTCTACTTTGAATTTTTCAAAAGCCTATAACTTGAGTACTATTTCAGATAGTTAAATGAAATTTCACATGTAAGTAAAAGATCTAATTCTCTACCTTCTGTTAAATTTTGAGTAATTTCCGTTGACCGGAAGTAGTACTTTACGCTACTTCCGATTTCTCAAAAACTAATGTAAATTTATAAAGTACTAATACTATTGCGCACTATTATACACACCTTTATTAGGCGTTCGCTTGGTGCGCAATTGTTTTTTACTGAGATTCTATTCTATTTTTAAAAGTTTCAGTATTTAAAATGGATTAAAGATCATAACTATATCCCCAGTTACCATCCCCTGTTGTTTTATATAAGAATATTCGAGAAAGTTTAGGGGAGATCACTACCGGTTTATTTTTTTCATTGTGTACACTCGCTATAGATCTACATTAAATTGAGTACTGCTTCTTCTTCGTTCTTAATAATCATGTCCCATTGGACGATCATACGACAAGAAAAACATTGCAGTGTAATTTTTTTTAATGGGATCTTTTGGAGTCTAAACTGCGAGTAGGTCCTAAAATTGCTAAGCATTTAATGATTCTTATGTAAGGGATCTACTATTAATTGCGGCCACGAAAATAGGAATTTAATAATACTACACCAAAAACGCGTCCACAAAAGTACGACTCCCTTTTCAAATAATAGAATAACCCTGCAAAAAAAAAAAAAAAAAAAAAAAAAAAAACCGAAAAGTTTGTGATATAGAAGGAAGTCAGGAAGAGGAGAAGGGGAGATAAACTGACCGACATGACTCAAAAGTAGGTCAAAGCTTTCATCCGATGACTACGTTACTATTTGATTCCTCCCTCCCCCTCCCCCCCTCCCCCTGGGTCCCTTGCATCAGGCTGTGCATGATTGCAGTGTGTGTGTGGGAGGGGGGGGGGGGGGTGGCGATCTGGTATCACAGTATCAGTCACCATTGCTGTAAAAGCCCAATGCCGCCACGCGCAGCCCACAGTCCTATCCGGACGAGCGCCAGTCACGGTCTCTCAGGAGAGGAAGCGCGCGCAGCGTCGCCGCGCAGATGGTATGGATTACACTGTCTAGCTCGTGAAGGTAATTTCTCATGTTACAGTTGTTTTTTTTTTTTTTTTACAGCTAATGGCTGCTCAATAATCTACGAGTATTGATTTTTGTTTTCATTACTGATTTTCTATGTGTTTGCATTATTATTCTGATAAATAACATCAATTAGACTGAAATAAAAAGACCGATAGTTTTTTTTTTTTTTAATAAATTCATCATGACATTACATTGATATCTTATATAGCTCTTAATTAACTAAATTGTATGACTTGGTCTATATATCGTATAATGTATTCCCAATGTACTACGTATTGATATATATAATGTGAAATTATTGTGGAAACAATTTTTCTTTGCAAAGTTTTATAATCACTGCATTTCTAGCCTATATCGAGTAATTTAATAAACAGGATTAATTTCCACTAATACACACTAAAGCAAGTCAATAAAGTGAACGTTATGCAACCATAGCCACTGATGAATCGATTTTCTTTTACTCTCATACCTGTTCGCTCGACACTCGCTACATTCGAATGGATGTAGGGAGGGTGTCGAGGGGTGGGGAGATGTGGGGTGGGGATGATGGTGATGTGGGGTGGGAGGGTGACAGGATATTTACCACAAACACAGCTATTTAAAAGAAAAAAAAACTTATGTCTAAGACTATTTCCTTGGGCTCTCTGTTAGATATACCAAACGCAACCCAACCCAACCCTTTAAATCAGTTCTTATAGCTTGAATATATATATATATATATATATATATATATATATATATATATATATATATATATATATATATATATATATATATATATATAGGTAAAAAAATTTACGTCTAAAAAAAGGTTACGTCCTTCCCTAATGTCAAAAAGTGTAACTTTGTCATTGTATTTATGTTTGATATAAACGTGTGCCTTTGCATTTGAAAGGGTAAAAGTGAGCGACATTATTAGACAGGGACTTGGCACTACGTGCGACATTTGATTGGGGTATTTAAACTTAGCAATCTTCGATCGAGAAATGCTAAATATAGCATCACAGCCTGTTGACTCGATTAATCTCTAGCCTGAAAAGTAGCAATAATATGTGTTTATTGTCTTGGTTTAACAATATTATGAGAATATGTTACATTTCAGAAGAGTCATGAATAGAGGGCGGGTTGAGGGGGTGGGGATAAACGAGTAAATTATGTATATACTGATGACTGATAAGGTTTGTTGGTAAAAATGTTTAACTGGAAAACTTCTTTTGTCAAATCTACTGCCACAGTGACATCCCACTGTCACACTGACATCCCACTGCCATACTGCAATCTTTTTTCTACTTCAATCTGGCAAAGTGGAGAACCAATCAATATTGTCCTGGCTACCTACCCGTACTTAGTAGCTAGAGTTGATGATGTATCTAAGCAACATCCGTTTGATGGAAGTATTGCATTGCTGATGAATTATTCGTTTCGTCGATTTCTGCCAGTCCAAAGTCGATTCTCACTTTCTTGAACGCATTATGTAACAAGACGCCCATCATAATTTCTTTCAATAGTTGCTTGCGTCCGTTTAAGAATTAATTAGGTGCAAGAATGATTTTGTTCAAAAAATGATTGCTTTTAGAAATTTGATTACGTTTATGATTTAAATACGTTTGTAAATTATTTACGTCTAAGAACTAATCTCTTTTAAAGTAGACTAAAAAAAAAAGAATAATCGCGTTCACAAAATTCATTGTGTTTATAATTTAGTCTTTTTCTAACCTCTGTTTAAAAAAGCTAATGGCGTTTTAGAAACTGATTGCAATTTAATGTTTGTGCGTGTTTACTAAAGTCGTTTTAAAAAGCCAAAACCATCTGAGTTGGCGCTGAATTATTTAAAAGGCACTAAAAAGACTGGCTTTGTGTGGAATGTTTACATTTGAGTGATTGAATCGAATTCGAGACAAAGACAAGTAGCGTGTTGACAAAATCCTGTAGACACTGGTGTCAAGGTCATTTAGTCTCTGACATTGGTGAAACTACTTTTTATAAAAGCAATTTGGGATTTTTAAAAATGTCGTACTTTATAAAAAAAAATTAAGTATAAAGTTTTTAAAAAAAATATTCATTTAAATTTTCTACCTTTTTAAAGTGATAAAAGCCAAGATATCTTGACTTTTAAATAGGAAAAGTAAACTACGAAACTTTAAAACATGTTCATGGGTAGATCGTTTTGACAAAGTTACCCTTGACATTACGGTCAAGTAGGCAATAGAAATAGAGATCAACAATTTTTTTTGAGATGTTGGCATATGAAAGGATAGTGTGGTCAGCACTATGCCCAGCCGCCTTTACTATCTCTAACGTGAGTTAGGTACCCATCACAGCTGGGTTGACATGATCTGAACCACTTTCTTTCAGGCATCTCTTTCGTGAGGGGAGCAACCCCTCTGGATAAATAGAAAAAAATTATATATATATATATATATATATATATATATATATATATATATATATATATATATATATATATATATATATATATATATATATATATATATATATATATATATATACTTTAACCAGGGGTGCGCGTCGTCCTCCCCCAAATTTAATTGATTCCCCCTTCTCCAGAGAAAAATGACTGCACCTCGACCCCATTGCATGCAGACAAACAAACCTTTCTCTTTAAAAAATAAAAAAAAAACAAAATTAAAAAAAAAAAACCCAAAAAAAACCTTCCTATGGATACTTTATTTTTAGGAAGTTCAAAGTTCAGTAACTAGGTATGGGTTAACGCGGCTCTGTAAGGGGAGATAACTCTTGCTACGTGAAGGTCATTGATCCCCCTCCCCCCACCCCCACACCTCTCCACTGTTGCATTTATAAGAGTAGCTGCCGTTGTGCAGTCAACAGCAACCGTCACCACCCCCACAACAACACAGCTTTGAGCCCTTGCGTCAGTCGAAAATGCCCGTCACGGCTCACTGCGCATTGAGTTGATGAACGTTGGCTCCTAGTTGGTCGAGTTGCGAACAACTCTATCACGGCAACGTTTTTGGCTCAATAGATCAGTCCTTGGCTGATTTAAAAATAGAGGATGGGATTCGTGTTTAAAAACAAACAACAAAAACAAGTTTTTTTTTTTGGTCATTTAAGGAAAATGGTGAGAGGAGGGGGGGGGGCACACGGACCCACCTCACTGTGTGACCGTTTAGGTTTTATATATAGGCCCCTACTTATTTAAAATGGAATGACGGTAGGCGGAATAGGGCTGGTAAGTAGGTTACCAACCAGTTCTACGGCTCAATAAAACCTGCATGAGCCATAGAACTGGCTGGTGACCTACTTACCAGCCCTATTGCTGGAAGGAGTAAAAGTCTTAGACATTAGTCGGAGCAGACGCACTTGTATTAAAAATTGCGAGACTAGAGAAAAGCAAAGTGTGGGAGGGGGGAGGTGGGAGGGGTCTCCCCAAGGGTACTTTTAAAACTCTTCTGCGGACATGGCGACTAATAAACCCTGTTGTAAACTAACGCCTATGCTTATATTTATTTACGTCTATAAAATTAGCGTCTTTCTTGTAACTGGATCAAATCTATTTGGACGCTTGCGTACACACCTCATACGTGCTGTATAGTGCACACTGGACGCGTAACAATGGGTGTGCAGCTTTGCTAGCCTGTTGTAGAATGCTATTTATAGAGTTGAATGTCACTGTGCCAGGCAGCACGTACTCTATCTATGTAGTTGTACCAGCTGTACCAGCCTTAACTTTCTCTACGTCATTGTACCAACTGTACTCGGAGCAAGTACTTCGCTACGTCACTGTACCAACTGTACCAGCCGTCCGGTAATCTAGCTACGTCATTGTACCAGGCGGCCCGCGCTCTATCTACGTCCCCGTACCAACTGTACTGGGAACAAAAGTACTTCGCTACGTCACTGTACCAACTGTGTGCCGGACAGGACGTACTGTAGCAACGCCATTGTTTAGTTCTTCGTTTTAAATCAATGCCCAGTGCAATTAGCAAAATGTTCCCTGAACTATTAATTACATTTTTAGGTTTTATTGATTCGTCGTACCCGCACTTTTTATACAATGAAAATAATTACCGATACTTTAAACCCTTGGGGATGTTAGGCTAATAGTTGTAGTTAGGCTTGAGCTTAAAGTATCGATACCGATGACACAGGCTTTAGGACTGAAAAAGATAATTGAAACTAGAACCAAGAGCTCGAATATTTTTATTTGAACAGCAATCGTCATTTTGAAAATGATATAAAAACGTATTTATAAAAATAAAAAATAAAAATTTCTTCCTTTCTAATCATGATACCTGACCAGGTACTCGACTTGTTTGGACTTGCCCATAGGTAAACGGTAACGTCACTATTTCATAGGACGGGTGGGGGAGGAGGGGCAGATGGCTTTGTTAAACATAAATCAAAGTTTCCGGCGTGATTTGAACTGAATTTGCCGGTGAACGAATACATGTAATAAAATACTTGTTAAATCTGTATCAGAACAACTGACACACACTTTTAGCCGTGTTACTCCCCCTCCCATCCCACTTTACCATCGTCACATATCGTCATACAACTCACACCTTGACGTCAGTTATAGACCCCCCACCCCCACAAACACACAAAACACACTGCTATAAATGAGGTATTTGGTTTATTTAAATCCAATACTAATCGTAGTTTAATGTGCCTAATCGTGATAAAGCGAAAAGTCTATTCATGGCGAATTCTAAAGCACTTGGCGGCCTATAAATTGACCTCGTAAGATGTACTTTACCTCGCGTGTTCTAAATTTAGAACACAGTAGCTAAATTAGGACAAGATGGGGGCCTGGAAAATCTGCTACTACTTTATCCGCCATTTCAATAACATAAGTGATAAAAATGTATTAGGTCCTATAAATTACCCTTTCGGTGACTGAAATGTATCACTTATCACTATTATCGTATTAGTGATAAAATTGTATGGCTTAGTGATAAAAATGTTTTGCATATATCACAAAAAAATTTGTTAGAACATTATTGTATCACAAT